CGTCTCAATATTAAAACAGATGTCAGTATCTAAACATTTGTTGGTTCACTTCAATATCTATCCATGACTAGTCTCGGCTCACTAGAGACAACATGGCTTCATCCTTATACGCAAAATACAAAAACTCTCTTAAAGGGACCCTAAAATCAAAAACACATTATTTTCCTTTTACCTCAAGTGTTATTTATCAATTTAGATTGTTTTGGTGTGAGTTGCCGAGTGTTGGAGATATCATCTGTAGAGATGTCTGTCTTCTCTCCAATATAATGGAACTAGATGACACTTGACTTGTGGAGCTCAAAGCGCCAAAATATTAATCTGAAAAACTCAACATCAATGTCTCTGTACAGAAATCATGACCCAGTTACTCAAGATCATCCACAGACGTTGTTGTGAGCAGTTTCATGCAGGAACTATTTTCTTTCTACTGAACTACACTCGTCAATTGTATCACTGCGCAGAAGGAAGAGTGCATCTACTCATGGATGAGAGGTTCGTGCTTGTGACAGCGTGAGATGTAAATATCAATGGAGTCCGCCTTGACTTAGCTGTGACGTTAGCTAGCTCAGTGGTGCTAGGTGAGCTACCAGTAGATGCACTCGTCCTTCTGCATGGCCATATGGTTGGTGGGTCCCATCTTGGAGGGAATATGTTGTGCCCGTCTGCATCAGCTGATGAGAATATGTCGTTAAAAAGACCACATGGGTGTTTTGATAGGTTTATAGCTGGTTTATGATTCATATGGTAACAGTGATACTGTGTGATAGTCCTCCTGACAGCACTTTTGTCTTCCACTTCGATGTCAGGTTAAAGGTTAACCGTACAGCAAAAGCATTTAACTTGACATTAGATCAAGAAAAAATCAATTCAAAATTAAGATTTGTTTGCAATATATTCATGAAAGGAATATTTAAAACATAATGCAAACCATTGTTTTTGCATTTAGAAATAACAAATGCATCAGAGTTCCAATATAAACTTTAGATGACAACAACAGTTCAATTTCAAAATGTATTTTTTTTTAATCATTTATTATTTCTGCAGGTCACTTCTTAAACTGAAGTGTGCAGATGATCAGCAGTGGCTCTGTTTACCTGCAGAGGTCTCAGCAGCAGTGAGAAGGCAACAGATGGTCTGAATACGTGATAAAGAGAGCTCATTTAAGGTTGTGTGTGATGGAAACTTTCTGCGTATTGAGACACGTTTACATGGTTTTCGTGCCAAAATATAATATTCTTGGGGAAAAAACAACATTTACTGCCAAGAAATGAACAAAAATAAACCCTGATGATAAAATACAGTGTTTTCTGAAGGACAGGAGAAGCCCAAGGTCCCCAAATATCACCCAAAGTCAAACATGTTCATTGTTTGACACTTATTTTATTCTTAATAGTTTTTCAGAGGTCGATACATTTTGACTGTAATATTTATATAATATATGATGATCGTGAATGTAACAATCATAGCTGCTTATTCTTTTCCCGCACTGTTTATGGGATTTTCAAGTAAAACAACATTTACAGGATCATTGCACTTGTAAATAGTTTGGCAAAAAGGTAAAAATACAACATTAACAGCAACAATACAACATGTAGATATATATATGTAAGTGGTGGGCAGCACCAAAACATGTGGAAGTGACTTGCAGGAGTTTGATTACATCCTAATGATTTTGTATGGTCTTGCTTTGGTCCAGTGTGTCCTATGAATAATTGTAAAATAGCTAAGAATAATTCTGTGAAAGTAAAAAATATTATGAAGCAATGCTGAATGTTTTTATGAACAACTCGAGCTCACAGTCCTTCCATGTTAACGCCTTTGTTGGGCATTGACGAGTACAGATATTTCTTTCATTTAAATTGTTTGAGCATTTTAATGATGGATTGGTCTCAAATAAATAATGAAAATGTGTTTAGAAATTGGAAAAGTAACACGTTTATTTCATAATGTTCAAAAGACAGGGTCTGGGGATAGAAGTAGACAGAAGCCTGGTCAAGGACACCTTAAGAAACAAGGCAGCCAGATTTGTTCTTTGTTGTTCTATCCATGCCAATGTGTGTGTACTCATTTAACCTGCTCCTGTAAGCTGCATCTCTCAGCCTGCACGACTGCTTCAATATCAGGTGTGCAAAGTCACATAGTGGGCCGGATCGGACCCTTTGGCCCTCAGGCCGTATGTTTGACACCCCTTGACTAGACGTTTAATTAGGACGAGGCTTTTCATTGAAGGTTTACAATATTCTGGATTTTTCAGTGGTGGAAAAGGAGCAGATGTGGGCTACTTTTAGATGTTTTTAACAAGGTAATGAAACTTTTGAGGGAAAACCGTAACAGAAATTATTATTCAAAGAAAAGTATTTTGACAAGTTAATTAGTATCTCTTTTTTTCAGTTATGCTTTTTATTGTTTCCTACAGCACCCTACCCTGTATTTCCTGAGGAGAATGGTGTCCTTTAATGTCTGCAGGAGAATGCTGCAGATGTTCTACCAGTCTGTGGTATTCAGCGCCCTCTTCGATGGGGTGGTGTGTTGGGGAGGCAGCACCAAACAGAAGGACACACAGAGGCTGGACAAACTCATCAAGAAAGCCACCTCTGTCATCGGTGCAGGGCAGGAGTCTGTGGTGTCGGTGGCAGACAGGAGGACTATTTCCAAACTGCTCTCCATCACTGACAATAGCCGCCACCCACTGCATAAACTGGAGATGAGGCAGAGGAGCTCATTCAGTGGGAGGCTGCTCTCACTGAATGAGCTCCACAGACAGGCTGCAGAGGTCCTTCCTGCCCAGAGCCATTAGACTGTTCAACACAACACTGGAGTGGGGAGGGAGATGAGTTGCGGGGGGGATTTGCACATCTGCATATTTGCACATTTCACTGTCATCCTATTTTTATTACTATTTATTCTTGCACTCTATTCTGTCTTTATGCACTGTGTGTATGATTTGTGTTTTTATGTTTATGTCTGAGCAGCTGAAAATGCAATTTCCTTTGGGATTAAGTAAGTACCTACCTACCTACACCAAAACACATAGTTACTTGTACATGTAATAACAAATCAGACTGTAGAACATACATAAACAAAAAAGAAAGTAAAAGTAAAAATAGAAATAAATAAATAAGTAATAATAATATCTGTCCTTGCACTGTGCACTTTACTTTACTTAACTTTACTTTTACCATTTCCACCACTTTAGATTGTCTTCTAGAGTGTCTTGTCTATTAGTTATACTGCTTAGGTTTTATTTTTATTTTACTTGTATATATTGTTTGTTTTTTTTTCTTGCATTTCCAATTTAGCTTTCTTTTAGCTCTTAAATTGTATGGCATTAATACTAGGTGAGAGGGAAACAACATTTCAATTCTCTGTATGTCCTGCACATATAGCAAATTGACAATAAAAAACTTTTGAACTTTGAACTTTAATAATAATGATAATAATGAATAACAAGGTAACACAGGATAGACGAAGGTTCCTACTGTGTGTATAAGACCCCTGAAGTGTAAATATAAATACAATTATAGCTGCTGTGCAGCGATGGGTCAGGTCCGGGCATTTTTAGGCAATTCTGAGCAACAAGCAGAAGAATTGGAAGACATTTAGCAACACAATCTGCCTTTTGCATCAGCTGAGGCTTGAACTCATAACCTCTGAGACTAAGGATCAA